TTTGCTGCCTCGGTCGCCGCGGTCCCCGGGGAACGGGCTCCGGCGCTCGCTCCCATTGGCCGCCGCCGCGTCAGCTGGTGCGATTTGCTGCTGTCGCTTTTGGCGTTCGGCCATCCAGAAACAAACCAGTTCGATGACTACTAATAGTTATAGCCAGATGTACTAATACACAACAAATCACAGTCCTGCAGAGGGGCGCGCAAATGAGTTCCTATTTTGTGAATCCCACTTTCCCCGGGAGCCTGCCCAGCGGCCAGGACTCCTTCTTGGGCCAGCTGCCCCTCTACCCGGCCGGCTATGACGCGCTGAGGCCCTTCCCGGCCTCGTACGGGGCGTCGAGCCTCCCGGACAAGACGTACACCTCACCTTGTTTCTACCAACAGTCCAACTCGGTCCTGGCCTGCAACCGGGCGTCCTACGAGTACGGGGCCTCGTGTTTCTATTCTGATAAGGACCTCAGTGGCGCCTCGCCCTCGGGCAGTGGCAAGCAGAGGGGCCCCGGGGACTACCTGCACTTTTCTCCCGAGCAGCAGTACAAATCCGACAGCAGCAGCGTGCCGGGCAAAGCCCTCCATGACGAAGGCACCGACCGGAAGTACACGAGTCCTGTTTACCCCTGGATGCAGCGGATGAACTCCTGTGCGGGTAAGACATTTCCCTGCAGCACCCTCCCCCCTAGAGAGTGGAGGGAGAGGGGGAAGGAGGCAGGGAAGGAAGGAAGGAAGGAAGGAAGGAAGGGAAGGAAGGAAGGAAAATAGAAAGACAGGAGGAAAGAATGAACAAAGTTTCTTTAGCTTTTAAAAAAAGAGATTAAAAAAAAATACCAACCCATTCCCAACGGAGCAATCAAGCTGAGGCAGAGTGAAGGCAGGGCACTAGTGTCCATGTAAGGTGACACCTTAGAGGAGTGTGTGTGTGTGTGGGGGGGAGGGGGGTCATTGCCATGCTATGTGAGCCCCAAGACAGGAGCAAACTAAAGAGAGAGCCAGGCTGGATGGGAGGGAGATCCTACCTACACTGCACCCAGGTAGCACCCTGCTCAGATTCCCAAACCCAGATGGCCTTCTGCACCCATCACTGATGATTCCCCTTCACCTGCCAACCCCCTCTCCTTTCTGCCCTTCATACACTCATATAGAAAGAGGCCCTTATTTAGCCTCTTCCAGGGTTACCCCAAAGCCTTGGAGGGCCACATCCCCAGTTGCAGTATTTCTTCTCTCTCCTCCCTCCCCTCCTCCCACTTCCACTCAACTGCTCACTTACAGCCAACTTCTGCCTCCTTCTAAGACCCTGCCCGCATCTCAGTCACCCAGCTTGGAGGGAGCCCCCACCCACGGGCCCCTTTGGCACCAGAACAAATAGCCCATCACAATCCTACATTTCCAGGAACCCCAGTTGGCCCATCGCTCCCAAAAACTCCACAGGGAATCCTTGGAGCAGGACAGTGCCTAATGCGAATTTGAAAACTTATAGTGTTTTTGCTTTAACATCCACTAGTTTTTTTTTTCAAGGAAGCTTTGCATTTCTCAGATGGGGCCATACAATTTGGGGGAATTTGCAAAGATCTGAGAAGGCTGACCATTCTTAATTTCCCAAAAAGCACATTGAGTGCTTCTCCAGCCACCCTGGGATGCCTGGCCACAGTCACATCTCCACAGACATCCAAATGTGGATGCAGTGTGCCTACCCTACTCATAGGGTTCCGCACCCCCACTCCCAGACATACACACACTGCATGCCCACAAAACATGACTTAGGTACCCCAAATTAAGAATGCCCGTTATATTCTTTTGCTTGTAATTTTGTTTTGTACTGAGCAGGTTTTTAAAAAACAATAACTTCCCACCCCAAGTCATTTTAGGTGGAAAACATCTCGCTTGGTATGAAATAATCTTCTCCCATCAGGAGGCTTTGGGCCCAAGACAGTGGGAGAGGGGAGAGTGCAGGCGGGGTGGTTTCCAGCCCAGAGGCTTGGGGTGCGGGGTTGACTGGCTCAGCTGCCCAGATCCAGGCTCACGGGCGCCTGGTCCTTTCTGCCCGCAGGTGCTGTGTACGGGAGCCACGGGCGCCGAGGCCGCCAGACCTACACGCGCTACCAGACGCTGGAGCTGGAGAAGGAGTTCCACTCCAACCGCTACCTGACCCGGCGCCGCCGCATCGAGATCGCCAACGCGCTCTGCCTCACCGAGCGCCAGATCAAGATCTGGTTCCAGAACCGCCGCATGAAGTGGAAAAAAGAAAATAAGCTCATCAATTCCACACAGCCCAGCGGGGAGGAAGCTGAGGCTAAAGCGGGCGAGTAGGCGCCTGGGCAGGGACCAGGCCAGCGGCGCGACCTCCCTCGGCTTTGCTCCCTTGCCTTCGCCTGCTCCCCAACCTTTCTCCCTGCCTGCTACCATCTGGGGGGCTTACGCAGCTTCAGGGGAGCCCGGAGCTTTGCAAACGCCTGAGCATTTATTTCTTACAAAAAAAAAAAGAGCAACAACATAAAAAAACCAACAACAACAACAACAACAACACACACACACACACACACATACACACAGCCAATCCCAGCGGTGGAGCGGGGCGCACTGCACACACAATCCCGCTCTCCAAGGCTGCCCAAGCCGCTCCGGATCCCAGCGCGCGCCCCAAATCCGTCCCTGACTCTTGTGTAGCGCCTCTGCACGCCTCTGGCACGGGACTCGGGGTTGCTGGAGAGGAAAGAACCCGGGGACCCACCCTCTTTTGGTGTCTGGGCATTTTGGCCCCGGTCCCTCGCCACCAAGTCCCGGAGGGCACCACCAAATCGACTCTGGCCACTGCAAAGAGGGGACCTAAAGGTTGGGGCCCCAGCACTGCGGTGGCCTCCCAGGCTGCCCCCAGACAGGAAGGAGCTCCAGGAACAAAGGCTCCCCTCCCCGCGGAGAGTCTAGCCTCTCTGCCCCGCACCACCGTCCGTGGAAGAGAAGGAGCCTCAGCCGAGCCCAGTCAACCTGAGCGCGGGTGGAACTGCACAGCCCCGGACCGGTTGGGCTCCCGAAGGCTCGGGACTCGGGAATCCAGCTCCTCGCCTCCGACAGTGCCAACAGCGCTTTCGGGACCCGAGGAGGGGGCCCAGAGCCGTGGGAGCGGCAAGAATCATGGTTTCCAGCCTGCCAGGGGCGTCTGCGACACAGGGCCTCCAGCGGGGAAACCCTCCCCTGCCTTTCAGCTGCATTTGTGGTTTACTTTCATCTTTCAGAACCCGGGAAAATAACTACGGGGATGCGAGCACTGTCTGGAAATGCTTCCTTTAGCGTCCTCAGTTCACTCCTGGAGGTCTAAGCAAAACCCTAATAACGCGGCCCAGAAATCACCAGCCCCCAAGCAGCTTCTGTAGCTGCGGGGAGCCTCGGCCCGCTCACTGGGTTCACCTAGAACCCCTCCGACTTGGGGCCCGCCTGGCTCCAGGAAAAAGACCTAGTGGTGAAGATTCTCCAGGCTGGATCCTTAAAGCAAAGCAAACAGCAAGCTAATGACACGAAAAGCCAAATTTACATGAAAGGAAAATCGAATCTGGTTATAGAAGTGTGTGGAATGTGACCTCGCCTCGGAGAAACACTACACAAAAGCTATCTTTAATAGACGCCTGTCATTTAGGAGCGGCGGGGACACTGTCCCTCCTGCGCTCGCCAAAAACAGAGCCGTAATTGTAGCGACTGCCCAGGGCAGGATTTATTTCTCCAATTGGCTAAATGGCTTCCCCCCACTCCCCTGAAGGTGATATCTGTATTTTCAAATTTCAGAGCTGCCGGCGTGACGGGCAGAACCGACCCCAACCTCGACATAAAAATAAGAGGGGCTGCACAGCGGGGAAATAAAGTTGTTGTAAATAAAATCCAAGTCACCATCTCCCCCCAGTCCTCTGCATCCTCGCCGGGCACGCGATCGGCAGCTGACGGCCTCACAATTGGTACATCCTAATGGAACTGCGAGGGAAATGCAATAATTTTGCCATAATGGGCTGTAACCTCAATTCGACCCCGGCCCTTGCAGCCCCGGGTCGGAAGCGGAGCGATGAGCCCTGCCTCCATCCCCCATTAGTGCACGAGTTTACCTCTAGAGGTCATCAGGCAGGATTTACGACTGGACAACAAAAGCACGTGATTCGAAGTCGTACCCCATATTTGGGTGCCTACGTAGGAGGGAACCAAGTACATGTCCCAGTCATTTCCATAATTCATCATAAATTGTGCAAGGGTGCTATAGACGCACAAACGACCGCGAGCCACAAATCAAGCACACATATCAAAAAACAAATGAGCTCTTATTTTGTAAACTCATTTTGCGGTCGCTATCCAAATGGCCCGGACTACCAGTTGCATAATTATGGAGATCATAGTTCCGTGAGCGAGCAATTCAGGGACTCGGCGAGCATGCACTCCGGCAGGTACGGCTACGGCTACAATGGCATGGATCTCAGCGTCGGCCGCTCGGGTTCCGGCCACTTTGGCTCCGGGGAACGCG